CACAGACTTGGCAATGCATATTTTGTCATCGGTCTCGGCGTCTTCCAATACACTGGAATTTAAACTCGTTGAGAGACTCTGCAAACTTCCTCTTGGAGACATTTCAGAGTCTGGATAAGTATCTTTTAGAACATTTGAATTTGAAGTAAATACACTTCAGCAGTGTCACCACAGATCTGTATTAAAACTAAGATGAGCTATATTTATGAAGTGGGCTTTGGACAGGTTACATGCTTGTGTTCCTCCGGAGTAGAGAATCTGTCTCCTTAATGTACATGTGGGAACTCGAAATGTCACTTATTTGTGAAGCGTGTTATTGCCGTGGAGAGCGGGGACCATCTGCCTTTGCCTCTGAATGCTCATATGACATGCACAAAAAAATCAGAAAGGGAGGGGCATGATTTCATGTTGCCCACCTTTAATCTTCCCCCCTGGTCTAATTAGCTGGAGTGGGCAGGTCATGTGCAGAGACATTTAGCCCAAATAAACAAGCCAAGTGAGGATGCCAATCAAGATGAAGAGAGAGACTAGTGCTCCCAGTCGAGTGGGGTAATCACAAACTGGCATGGCATGTTGATTACAGACGCTCCACTGCTGATGAAGACTGGTTGGAGATAATCACTCCTGTGGTCGTACTTTACAGCTCACGTCTGTGTCTTCTTCTGGTGCCTCAGTATATGCATGCTTTGTGCCATTACTTTAAAACACCAACAAGATTACTCATCAATCCAGGCAGTCAGCGTCACATAAATTCACTTTTTAACTTAAAGGCTTTGTATGTGCTTTTCTGATCCAGCAGATGTCGCCCTTGAGGACCAGCATGAAACCAAAACAACTCGTGCTGCATTGTTGTGTTAGCACGCTAATGATCTTTATTATGCTGGTATCTTCACACTGCATGTAAATTTACCTGAAATGAGCGTGATCTAGAAACACAGTTAAGCAGTGAGTACAGTATGTTATTCTTCTTTTCTCTAGTCTTTTACATTTAAGTGTGAAAAATCAAATATTACAATCATTGCTATAACCTCAAGTTACTTCATTAATTTTTAATTATTTATCTGACCAGAGAGCCTTTTTTTTGGAGTGAGATTTCCCCTGCAGCCGCCCTGTCTCTCACACACCTGAGACCGGGGGCCAGGCAGAACTCCCCTCTTTCCCTCTGTCAAAAGCCATAGAAATTGCAGAAAACAGCAAAATACAAAAGCAAATATTTATCATTTTATTGCAGATTGTGTGTGTACATTTTGACAATGCAAAGACTAATGCAATCAAATACATTTTGTTGCTAGTCTTTGACATATCAAAAACTCTAATCACCATTCAACTAATAACCTTGCATTTAAAGGGTTACAATCCTGAAAATAATTGAATGTTTTGAAGTCAAAAGTTCTTTAACTAACGCAGCAGAAAAATATAAATGCATTTGAGGAGGGCACAAGGGTTGGTGGTGTTGTTTTACCTTGATATACTGTAGAAGAAGCTCATCACAAGTCAGGACAGTCTATGGTCTGGACACTGCTCTCCACTGTGGCGGGCGATCAGCATGAAGAACTCCACACTCCGTACACTTCCCTGTCAAAGTCAGTTAGTTTAGAATGACAACAGCCTAAAAGGAAAAAACATCCATGATAAACGTATACGAGGCAGAAACGATATATTCCAATACCGTTTAATTCATGATACACCACAAAGCATTATCTCTGGCTTAAAATAAAACTTGTAAACTAAGTGGTACCAAAATATGTTTTGATTTTATCAATATTTTAGCCCTTGTTGCAATCTTAAACACTTAGGGCCACGTTACAAAATAAACGTTTTGTTTTATTCTCGTAAATTTACAACTTTATTAGCGGAAATTTCTGAGTTTAATCTCAAAATTATAATATTTTAACGTGGCCCTCATCCTCCGTCGTACACTTGTATATCGTAAAATGGGTTTTTCATGAAAGACACACCTTCTCAAAGACTTAAAGCGAAAGTCTGCAGCTCTTTGGAATCATAATCATCCTCCTTAAAAGAACAAATTAAAATGCAGGCTGTGCGCGAGAAACTAAATAAAAATGACTGAACTAAGTCAAGACTGTGTGTTTGCTTTAAGTTAATTTAGGCTTTGATGTGAACTGAAACTTATTGCTAACACAAACAAACCCGGGATAGCAGTAAGTGCTGCAATGTTACACAAGCAAAATTAAATTAAAGCTAAATACACAACTGTAATCAATGATGTGATTCGATATTAAATAAAGACTTAAGTGACAAGTGGTGATTAAGAGAAGAGCTTCTCACCCACTTTGTCACAATGTTATGTCAAGTTTTCTATGCGCTGATTCAGCTGTAAACTCCCCTAAGTGTTACCACAGGGCTAGGGTTGCAGGAAGAGAGAAACCCTGAGGTCTTACTGGGTGCTGCCATATTTTGTGTCTGTGCTCAGTTCACTCTCAGAGTGAAGGATTATGGGGGATCTGCCGGATAAAAATGTTGTTTCTCAGAGAGTATTACAAATAATTTACAGCTATATCTATGTTTTCTGTTTTTAGTAAATCTACAGACACTGAGGACGGCATAACAAAGCATATGAACGTCAGCATCCTCCTGGTGATAGAAGATGAGGTCGTCCTGGAACATCAGATCAAGCAGCATGGCATGAAGGACTATTGGTAGCATATGGTAGCTATGCTCATGGGTCTGCTGTATGTAATTAACATTGACTACCAAAAGGAAGTGCAGTATACATTTAAAGTCATACAGAAGAACCTATTGAATATCGGTGGTGACCACTGCCCCCTTCAACGGTCCATGGACTGAGAAAAAGACTTCTTTGTAAAGCTGTGAGGTCGGGAGTTTTCTGAAAGCCTCCAAGAAATATTTGAACATTGTCTCACAGATCTTTTCTGAAATGTTTGTGTTACCACAGTAAGACCACCTCATTAAATGTGTAAATTACCTGATTTTATACGTTTATTGCATCTGAAAATACTGAGAAAAGTGACCGATAAATGATAAATGCAGCAAAAGAAGGACAACTGATTTTTTGCACATTCTTGGGTGGAAATGTTTTTACCAACTAGTGGTAAAACATTTGTAAATGTTTAGATCTTATCTGATCTGCTATCAAAGATTGAAGAACTAAAGTTGGTTGATTTCTATGATTAAGCGAATAACCTGTAGAGATTATGCCTTTATTTATTTTTTATTTTTTATTATTTTTTATTGTATTTGAAAGGAAGTTGAAAGTTTCCACAAAAGCAAAGAGAATCATTAAAAATGTATACGCTTAAAGATTTAGGTACAACTGACTTGATGTCAAGTTTATTTGACAATAGAACATTTAATTTCTTTGGAATAATCACAAATTTGTAGATCACCTTCATCCTGCTGTGAACTCCCCCCCCCCCCCCCTCATGAAAATCCTTTTTACTGCACACCACAGTGTATTTCTGAAGTACAAATAAAGTAAAAAAAAAGTTCTTGACAACAGTAGATGGCAGCAACATGTTTAGAAAAAGCAGCCGAATCTCTCTGCGACTGATTGTCATGGCTTTGGTTTTAGTTTGGTGGTTGGTTATATCTCCTCAGTCCAGTGAAGTTATTGAATGTGTTTGGCTCTGTAAACAAACTCTAAAATGATATTTGTAAAGAGAGGGGCCGATGAGTGGATAATACAGTGTTGTTATCAATGCATACAGTAACTGGTTTACCCTAACTGGAAAGTAACAGTCCTTGGAGGCTGTTTAAAAAAGATAATATGGGAACCCTCGTCTCTGTAGACATCGTTCAACACAAGAACTTAAATCGTTTGGAAAAGTTTTTTTGTTTGTTTTGCTTGCTGTTTTGTTTTGTTTTTCCACCTTTGTCCCATCCCAAGTACAGATCTGTCATAATGAGCCTTTTATAGCCAGAGGACTCTCCCATAGTTAGTAACCATAGCAACACTTTTTGTAAGAGCTTTGACAAGACACTGTGGTAAAACTTTAACCTGTGATGACATAAAAGTACAAGTCTTACATCGGCTTCATAGAAAATAAATAAGAGTGTTTAAACAAACCTAATGAACTTGTAGTGTGTTTATGAATGCTTGAATATCAGCAGGTTTTGACCAACTTTAATGCCGATGGAAGTTGTGCAAGCTGAAATGAGCCCTGCGCCCTGTTTTCACTCAGTCAGTGAGCACCACTCTTTTTGTGTCCCTGTTGGTTTGTCTCTACATAACGGCTCAAGAGGTTCTTAAAATACAACCAATTAAAACGAGGAAAGATTTTTCTAAGGCACGTAAAATTAAACAAATTTAACATGTGAAAGATCGTTTTTTAAAGACATATCCTGGTAAATTATTATTCCAAATTAAATTTCAATCAAAATGTGTTTTTTCCATGAGTTCAACTGTTCATAAATTGGGAGCAGAAACAAGAAGTTTGGCCTCGTGAAGGTTGTTTTTTTTTTCATTTTATCTATTGCTTAAACTGTCAGACTTTTCTTTTCATAATCATTTTAAACATATTTCATTTAATATATCATATAATCTTTTTTTTAAAACCAATAAAGTCCAGTCAAATTCGTATCAGAGGGATTTATGCAAATGAGTATTTATGTGAATCGTTTCGCAATTTCCTGACGTTACTGATTTCCACTTGCCTCTTTCACCTTTGACCACCGAACAGATGACTGCTTCATGGTTTCTTCATCACCCCCCCCCCCCCCCTCCCCCCCGAGGACAGGCAGCACAGAGCCATGGCGTCCTGAGACATTCCTGACACAAGACACTGTTAAATAACTCAGCCTTTAGGCTCACCTTTGGTCTGTCAAAGTCCTTACACAGAGAGAAAGAGGGAGTGGGGGGAGGAGAGCAGGTTGAAGATATGATACAGATAACAGCTCGGCTGTGACAGGTGAACTCCTCCTTTGGTCTGGGACACTAAGCAGTGAAGAGCTGGTGAGTTTGATTTCAAAACACTCAGATTATTCTTTGTATACTTTGTAAAAATGTTTGATCCCGTATCAGATAACTATTTGAAAACAAAGCAAAAGGACAATTTCAGATAGCCAAAGAATATCCAATATCACATTTTGCATTGAGGGGTTAGATCACCCACAAGGGGCTACACGTTAGAGTTAGGGTGAAGTGTTTAGAATCTAGAAAAGATCGTTCCTGACATTCTTTGGCAAACCCTCCACACATGTACAGGAATAAATAGTGAATTTACTTTGCCTTTTTCTTTTTTTATTCCACCTTATCAGAATATTATTATTAATACTTATTTGTGTATATATATGTTTATTTTATTTATTATTCACCAACAGAATATGGCAAGGTAGTGAAAGAGTCTTTATACGTGAGTGACAGCAGGGGGGGGGGGATTGTATGGGGGTGGGAATCTGTTTGTGTAAATGTGTGTAATTATCCAAAATTCAGTAAAAATAAATTTGAAGAAGAATCTAGAAAAGATAAATGTAAGTGTTTTTTAAAATACATTTTAAAACACTTTCAAGTTTGGTAATTTTCCCAAAAGTGACCGTACAATATTGCCTTTGTTAGCAAAAAAAAAACCCTCAGTGTTTTTGTCAAACTGATCTTAGTGTTCAGGTTGTCCATCACGTAGATTTGGGTTTAAGAGTCGACACAAGTCAGAAATGTTTTGAACCTTTAACATGTAGAACTAAAGAAAGTATTCTACTTTCTGAACACAGACGATGATTTAAAGTGTTTAGAGTGAGTCATCTTGTTTTTTTTCTTGGAGAAACAATTCACTTGAGGTGGCTTTTTGTGATAATGTTTGTTATGCTTTAACCCTTTATTGTAATAGTCCTATAATTGCCGTCTCATACTGCACATGTTTACGATCTGCATTTTGCTGTCAAGTCATGTTAACACTCATAAAATCTAAGTTCAAAAAGGATTTCTGAAGTTCATACAAATTCAGCTAAATGAGGCTAAGTTTGGGGGATGTGTGTGTTTACTTCTTATTTTTGTCATAAAAAAATGTAATTGGTTTAAATATTGTACACAAAGTAAGAATCAATTGAAGTCCAGAGTTAGGAAGTATAGAAATGACTATAAATGTGTCACAGAGAGTTTTTGGTATAGAAAAAAAATAACTTTAAAAGAAGTAAAGATGAAAATTAATCAATTATTAAGAACAAAACGGCACGACAACCTCTCTAGTAAAAAAAAAAAGGAGTGTCAGTGTTTATCACATGGAGGGTCAAGGCTGTAGTAAACCAGTACCAGAAGTTCAAAAGGAACAACTGTTTCCAAACCACATCCCAACACATGTACGGACAATAACAATGTAATAATAATAAGAGGATTACAGTGAGAGACGTTCCTTACATTTAAAGTTCACACTGTCATTTAATGGATGTCTTCATCTCAGTCAGCTGTGCCTCAGTAACCATTAACTGATTCCAGAGCTCTGGTTATTAAAGATTAACTTTTCATCTGAACTTATCAGCACTTTTAAGGCCTCTTAAAGGACCCTGGGTAATCTGCTATTAAATGTTTATGGGGCGAGAGTATTAACAGGAGGAAGGTAGGGGGAGAGAGAGGACGATTGTCAACATCATTTTTTTTTTTTCGTTTTAAAACAAAACAACTTTACCTACTTGTTCATGATAGGAAATGGCCGGGTACAAGCCCAGGGTGATTTCTCTAACCAAGAAGCCAGGTCAAACATTTGGCTTCTACCTGAGACTGGAGCATGGGGAGGAGGGTCACCTCGTACGCTGCCTGGAAATGGGAGGTCCGGCTGAACTGGCTGGCATGAAGGATGGAGACCGCATCTTGAGGGTCGGGGGGACATATGTGGACGGACTGCCCCATTCAGAGGTAAATAGACTTGGATTTAACCACAGTGCACAATATTCAATAAGACTGATACGGAGGCCAGACAACGACAACATACTGTATATCAGAAGGGTTATGTGAATGAATAAATTATAATTGTAATTTGCCATCAATAACCAACATAATTTAATCAGAGGTGTCAAAAGTATTCACATTCATTACTCAGGTAGAAGTATAGATACTAGGGTTTAAAAAGACTTCTGTAGAAGTTGAAGTATCAACTCAAGTAAAAGTGTAAAAGTACTGGTTTCAAAACTACTTCAAGTATGAAAGTAAAAGTAATGAAAAAAATGCCATTAAGGAGAAAAGCTTAGGCCGCGCCACAGAGGCCTATAGTGCACTACCCCACCTCCCCAAAAAAACATTTTTCTAAAGGCCATAATGACTTTAATGTTATATTAAAATGTTAATTTTTAAATATTTGGGATGCACCTGTTTCATCCGCATTGATGCCCATTGAAAATGAACGCATTTTAGTACAATTCAAATACATTAAAGAACCATATATGTGAACTACTGAGCATTAACATGTGTTTCATGGAGCTGAAGATATGATGACTAGTTGCCTATAAGTATTGTAATGGTGCAAAACGGAGCGATTATCTGGATAGGTTTTTGTGGGGTTTTTTAACGATGACAAGCCGAAATGAAATAGGAGTAACGAGGCTATTTTCAAAACGTAAGGAGCAGAAAGTAAAAAGTCGGCAGAAAAAGAATTACTCCAGTAAAGTATAGATACCCAAAAATTCTACTTAAGTAAAGTAATGAAGTATTTGTACTTAGTTACTTGAAACCTCTGAATTTAATTATAATAAAGCATTCTCAAGTCTGAGCAAACATAAAATCATTCCTCTAAATATTCATAACAATTTCCCATCTTACTTTTTCTTACTCCCTCATATTATTTCTGCTTCTGTCATAATTAGATGGACATATGGATGTTGGCAGGTAAACTTGTTAAGAGGTCCAAAGTATAAAATGAAGAGGACATAAATGAATAGACATCTATAAAACATCTACTTTCCCTTGAAAATAGCAATGCAGTGAATTTGGAGGCATGGTGTCCCTTATCTTCTAAGTAACATCAGCTAGCTTTGTTAACTTGCTCGCTGTCCCAAACACTCAGACAGAAAACTGAGGAAAGGACTTTTAGGTATTCTGCACCCTCAGTCTGGAATCTGCTGCAGAATGACTTGAAACTCAAGCAGCTGGTGTCCTTAAAAAATGTTTTAAAACCTAAAAATGTTGCTATTTCCAAATTCAACTAAAAGTATTGTGTTCTGGTGCGTCATCTGTCTAAGCTGGCTGATCATTTTCTTTTGACATTTTGTCAGTTTCCAATATTTCAGGGCTCAATATTGATGGAAATAAACTGTGACACTGACAGGAATCTTGTTTTTTTAACCATGCTGCTCTGTCTCGGGTCAGGTGGTGGACATGGTGAGAAACAGTGGAGCGACAGCAACGTTTCACATCCTGGACGAAGCCCCTTACAAGAAAGCCAAAGCGAAGGGAGTGAACCTCTCTGAACCTCAGGGCAAACCGGTTGCCAACGGTGTCTCCAAGATGGCTGAGAAACCCAAACTCTGCTACATGGTGAAGTCCAGCGCGGGATACGGATTCTCTCTCCGCTCAGTAGAAAGTGAGCTGACATTCTGTTTTTTAAAATGTTCTTGACGTTTAGAGGTTTCATTTATAACCTTACTGCACTGAAGGAGCACAGGTGGATGACCTCATGTCAACAGTGTTGGGCGTGTTTACAAGTGCAATGAAAGCACTTCTGATTACACCTGAACGCACCACACACACATAAGGTGGGACAGACTTCAAACCTTTAACCAGGGAGAGAAGTGAAACACTGCTTTACAGCCGAGTCTTAAGTTACTCTTTGATTTCTTCAATTTACAACTGTGGAGCTGATGGATCATTTGAGATAACTTTAGTTATATAACATCATATGTTATATTATACAGCATCAACTGTTGAAGTGTGTCTTGATATCCGTAATCAGTTATCCATATATCTTCAGACTATAAAGCTGATTTATTCCCTTGACACAAGTGTTAGTAGTACTAATCATTTATTTCGGTCACAAGAAAAAACAAAAACACTTTGAGTGAAAAGGTTTAGGCTGAAGCTTCATCTTATTACACCTCCCCTCGTTACAAATCTTATTATTTAAGACACGACTAGTTAGGTTACAAACAAAACAAAACATGTCAGAACAAAATTTGTTCCAAGAATTTCTTTCAAAACAAAACAAATGAAACAAACAAAAAACAAAACAGAAGTCACACTCACAAAAAAGAATCAAACCGACCTTTTAGATTTGTTAAACATCGTTTTTTTAAACAAAAATTTAAATCTGGAAAGTGAACTACACATTCTTAATTCCACAAGTTAACCCCTTTTACTGAAATACACCTGTTCTTTATGTTTGTCCTTACCTTTGGTTTTTTATACACACCTGTTCCCCTTAGTTCATACCGGCTCTCTCTAGTTTCAAACAAACCTCTGAATACTGTTGGGAAGCAAATGATTTTATGCTTTGTACATTATCTGAGCAGTTTTTAGATCTACTAGATCGCTGAAAGTGTTCACTCGGTGTAGCTTCCTCTGGATCCAACAAATGGCTTTTTACAATTTTTCAGACGAAACAAGTAGGATTCCTGTTTTCAGGCTTTAGATGATTTATTTATCCATCAATTATCTATACAGCGATACTAGCTGTCTTTGAGCGAGAGTCAGGGTACAACCCTGGACTGGTCGTCAGCCAATCAGGGCTGACACACAAGAAGAGACAGACAAAAAATTCACACTCACGCCTACAGGGCGATTTAGAGTCACCGATTAACCTAGCGAGCATGTCTTTAAACTGTGGGAGGAAGCCGGAGGGAAACCACACATGAACGGAGAGAACATACAAACTGTACACAGAGAGGCTCCTGTCAGACAGAGAATTCAAACCAGGAAGCGTCTTGCTATGAGGCTGCAGCGCTTACCATTGCACCGTGCAGCCCTATTTAAAGGCTTTATATGCAATTTTTTTTGATCCAGCAGATGTCGCCCTTGAGCACCAGCATGAAACCAAAACAACTGGCGCTGCATTGTTGTGTTAGCATGCTAATGCTAGCGATCTTTATTATGCTGGTATCTTCACACTGCATGTAAATTTACCTGAAATGAGCGTGATCTAGAAACACAGTTAAGCAGTGAGTACAGTATGTTATTCTTCTTTTCTCTAGTCCCTCAATTAAACAACTTTTATACACGAGGGGAGGAGTCAGCCGGCCGTCCGGGCGATGTAAACAAAGTGAAGATAGGACTCTGAAAACTCTGAAAACATCACAGACAGTGGGACTCGGGTGTTACACCCATTGTAGACAGTCATGACTCACAGAGTTATTTTCAGAGGATAAACTTGATTTATATTATATTTCAGTGTGAAACATCACATATTAAGACTTTAAAGTATTTCGAATAAAGGATTTTTTTATAAAGGTCAAACAGTCTGTCACTTAAAAAAATAACAATGTCAACAATCATATTGGAAGAATACAAAAGACCAACCTAAAGGTTTTGTAATGGCTACACAAAAAAAGTATATTATCATTATTATTATAACTGTAAATGTAGGTTATTGTTTTTAAAAGAGTTTCATTTTTATAGTGGTAATACTATTTGAATCAGTCTGCAGAGAACTGTCTCTGTACTCTTAGTCCAAACATCTCCTCTTAATAATCACATATCTTTCATTAAATCCTTCCTAGGAGAGAAGGGTTTGTTTATGACCGAGGTGATCCCAGGAAGCATGGCGTACAAGGCCGGCATCCGAGTCAACGACCGCCTGCTAGAGGTCAACGGGAACAATGTAGAAAGCTCGACGCACGAACAAGTAGTGGACATGATCAAGCTCGCCGGCAACTGCGTCATGTTCCTGCTGGTCGACGAAGAAACAGACAAGTACTACCAGAGCAAATACATGAAGATGGGGGCGTGGTTAGCCACGACCAGGTACCTCACTCACAAGCCACGCAAAATCCACATTACCAAGGGATCTGATGGATACGGCTTCCTGCTCAAGAAAGAGCCCAACCAAGCAGGCAAGACCATTATCTATATTACATATATTATATATACTGGCTTCAGTTTTTTGGCTTTATTTCTTAAAATGTGTTCATTTTAAATCGATGCAGGGCACTTCATCAAGGACATAGAAAGAAACAGCCCGGCATTAACAGCAGGGCTGAAGGAAATGGACCGACTTGTGGCCGTCGACGGCAAGGAAGTGGAAACCTGCAGCCATGAGCAGGCAGTGAACAAGATCAAGCAGAGTGGCAATAACTGCTGCCTGCTGGTGGTGGACAAAGAAACAGACCAAATGTACAAACTGGTGAGTCAGTGAGCCATCATCAAGCTTTGATATACACAACAGACTTTAGACTTTTAGACTTTATTGTCCCAGAGGGGAAATTATTTTCCACAGCACCGTTACTGTCCAAACGGACGAGTCCCACCAAAGAAGATTCATACACAGAAAAACAGAGATAGACAAAAAGTCAAGAGGTCCCACTCTGGCCTGTTCAGCGAGGCCTTTTTATTCAGGGCCGTTATTACAGCAGGGATCAGGCTCCTTTCTGAGGCGAGCCTTTCTGCACCTCATTGTTCTGTACCTCCGTCCTGAGGGAAGTGGGGCGAGGTCAGTGTGATGTCCTCTTCTGTTAGTAGTAATCATTTATTTCGGTCACAAGAATAAACAAAAAAAATTTGACCGAAAAGGTGAAATTGATACAAATCTTATTATTTAAGACACGACTAGTTTGGTTACAAAGAAAACAAAACATGTCAAAACAAAACAAATGAAACAAACAAAAAACAAAACAGAAGTCACACTCACAAAAAACAATCAAACCGACCTTTTATATTTGTTAAACACCATTTTTTAAAACAAAAATTTAAATCTGGAAAGTGAACTACACATTCTTAATTCTACAAGTTAACCCCTTTTACTGAAATACACCTGTTCTTTATGTTTGTCCTTACCTTTGGTCTTTTATACACACCTGTTCCCCTTAGTTCATACCGACTCTCTCTAGTTTCAAACAAACCTCTGAATACTGTTGGGAAGCAAACGATCGTGTGCCATTATCTGAGCAGTTTGTTCTATTGAGGTTGCAATGCGTGTGACGGTCCTGTTATTGAGTTCTGTTAGGTCGGGTGTGGGGAGCTGTGGTTGTGATGCGTGTGAGTTTGGCCTTGTTTTTTTTTTACAGACACATCTATATTTTGTCGTTCTGATGTTTCTCACAGGGGAAAGCCACTCCGATGCTTTTCTTGGAGGAGTTTCAGGATTCCAACTTGCCGCCCAGTTACACAGAGGCCATCAAGTTACCTGCTCCAGTCCAACCATCCATACCTGTTGAGGAGAGGAGGGAGGAGCTAAAGCCTAAACTGTGTAAGATGGAGAAGACCGCCGCTGGCTATGGCTTTCACCTGAACGGCATTCAGGGCGTGTGTGGACAGTACATCATGGACGTAAGCATCACTAAAGATTTGCAGTATTAAAAGAAAAACAGCCTTATGTGTCAAAGTTTTAAGACACACTTGTGTTTGTCCCGTAATTATATATCTATATTTTTTGTTTCATTTGATGTGTTTTCTCTGTTGTGTCTTGAGATATAAAGGTAAATAGCTCATGTGATCCTGATTTCACTCTTGAAAAGTGTAACTAAGTTAAATGTTATGGTATTATTTTGGTTGATAAAAACTTGTATGACTGATGGAAAGCATGAAAGTAATAAAAAAAAAGAATAATAATAAAAAAAAGAATTTGCAGTATTTAAAGAACAGCTTTATGTGTCAAAGTTTTAAGACACACTGGGTTTGTCCCATAAGGTGGTGAAAGGTGGAGCTGCGGACAGGGCCGGTCTGGAGGATGATGACATCGTAGTGGAGGTGGACGGAGTAAACGTGGAGCAGAGCAGCCACGATGAGGTGGTGCAAATGATCCGCAGCAGTGGAAACTCTCTGGAGATGTTGGTCGCCAAAAAGAGCGTCTACGGCCAACTCAAAGATAAAGGAGTGACCATCACTCGCCTGCTGCTCGGGGAAACCTCTTACGCTCAGGTCCACAAAGCAGACATCCCGGAGGTCAGCAAAGAGGAGAGACAGGAGGAAGAGGAAGAGGCCAGACCTGAAACCCCCGCTGAAGCAGCCAGAGAGCGGGTGAGTCACAGCAAACACAGTAACATGGCTGTGGGGTTCTACAATTCTACAATTCACTGAGCAGACTCTTTTATCCAAAGCGACGTACATCAGAGAGTAAGAACAACACAAGCAAGGATCTAGAAAAAAGGGAACAATGTCAGTAAGAGCAAACGATCAGCTTTGAGTCTGATTGGACACACAGGTGCTGACAGGAAGTGACCAGAGGCAAAGCACAACATTGAGGGCAGTTCTTGAGAGCTCTAATCAGTATAGAAACCATCTTATAAGTCGTCGTTATCAAACAAAAACCATCGTCATTACCATCATCATCATCAATAATATGGAGACCATCATCATTAAGTTAGTAGGTATTCATGAAAGAGCTGGGTCTTTAGCTTTTTCTTAAAGGTGCAGAGGGACTCTGCAGATCACATGGAGTTTGGAAGTTCATTCCACCACCGGGGGGCGACAGAGGAGAAGAGTCTAGTCAGTTCTAGGGATGTTAGTTTGACTGCTATATATATATATATATATCTCTCTCTCTCTCTCTCTCTCTCTCTCTCTCTCTCTCTCTCTCTCAATCTGTGTATATGTTACCTGATAGGTTATCTATTAAAACACTTTTTATATTATTTATGATGCAGAAAACAAAGCTTGGGCATATTTAGAAAATATGTCATCTGGTAGTTACCAGTGTTGTCTGACATCCCCAAGAAGAGAAACTGAGCTGAGCAGACAGAGACCACTTTGAAATAGTCACAATAGATAACAATAGTAAATACTCCATTGTTTCAGAAACTCTGATTATTCTTTTGCCGCCAGCAGGTCCAAGCTTAATTTGTGGTAGAATGTCTTGTAGCTTAGTAAATGCATAAGTTCTATACATTCTTCATGATGAAATATCTACAAAACTAAAGGCATTCCCAGTTAACAAAGCTTTACTATATTATTACCATAATGCAACAAATTACGATTATCACTGTTGGAGCTATTTAATTGTTGTTAGAATTAGTTTTGGTGTTTAGTTTACTAATATTTGGGTGTTGTTGTTTATTTAATTATTCTACATGTTTTCTTTATTTAGAATAGATTGTGGGTGATATTTTCTTTTTGCCCGTTATTTGTTTAGTACATTTAGTTCTGAATTAGTATTTTTGTTAGGTATTTGGTAACACTGTGGGCACCAGAGGTTATTTAACTAAGAGGCAGGTAGAGGACCAGCATGCACCTGGGTGGGCCTATGAGAGGCAGCAGGAGACATGATTATCTTCGTTCTTTTGTTTGCTTTCTTTTGAACCAAATAAACTGCAGATCTCTTGCATGGACGTTGGATTTCTTTTGCCTGCGTACATCACATTCCCATGATGCATCAGTGGTCCTTTGATTATGTTTGATATTAGTTTATTTCGATTTTTTTTTTGTTTTTAGACAAATAGCCACTACAATCACTGTTGAAAACATCTAACCTGATATATATCAGCAGGTTTGCATGTTGATATTCAATCGACCTTTAGCACGGCGTGCAGAAGCTGTGGATGACTTTATGTTATTACTTTTAGCAGCTGTGTTTTTATTCTTGTCATTCCCATTTTTATACCTAATAGCTGACATATGAAACAATGCTGAATGTCCAAAATAATTGGTTTTATTTTTTTCTCTCTTCCAGACCTCATCTTCATCTTCATCTTCATCAGAGGAGAGTTTGGATGAAATATTCTAAGAAGCCACCGAATAACCTCCAATCCCTGGTTTCACCTTTGTCATTCTTAATGTTGATCCATTGTTGTTGTTGGTTTTTTTAACACTCAGCACTTCACGCAGCCGAGTAAAGCTCAGTGTCAGTACCTCGATCACAGTGGAATAACTGCATGTATAAAAAAAAAGGCTGAGAACAAAGCATGATCCTGAATGATTGTCTTTCCTGGATGCAAACACTTCATCTAGTCACCTGTGCAATAGTCGGAGAAAAGTCTTTCCCACACCTGAGCTCACCATCTTTACTGTGATAAACCACATCCTGCAGAAACTGAATGAACATGCTGCCATTAAATACGACTGTATGGCCTTCAATGTATTTTTTTTTTTCAGTATGCAAGATTTGCTGCCTTTATTTAATTTTCGATAAATTTGACTATTTTTGTTCTCATTTCTGAATTGAATAACAAACTTTCATGAACACAAATAAACACATTCTATCTGAATTCAGCGTATTTTGTGTATTTAGTTCCAATTACATGACTTCAGTCTTCAGGATGTAGATCATACCCTCTTGAGATTTCCTTCATACAGTCTATTTAAACCTTAGCAGAACAGAAGTGGGAGAGTGCTGTGAATAGTTCAGCTCCAGTGTGTTAAGACTGAGAAAGTAAAAAAGTCTTTGAGGCCACAGAGGCAAACATTTTAAGAGCACAAAGAACATTTTTTTTGCCATTTGTTGGTACATCATTTTGTGACCCTCGTTTTTTTCTGTACATTTTAATTCATTCAAGGAACTTGATAATAAAAGGTTATTCATTTGCTCCAATATTTCCCCTCTCCTTAAATCTAACAATCAGCTGTTCCTGATTCAGGAACAGGCAGTCCAGATAATTATGTCCAATACTTAAAAAAAAGAAGAAGTTCTGGATTCAACTTTAAAGATTTAAAGCCCCTCCAGGAGTCAGCAGTCACATCCAGGTGAGGAGAGATGTGTGGGATCAGAGCACCATGTGTTTCTCTGGTGCCTGCTTGTGGGCGAGATAAAGGAAGAGGATGCTGGAGAGGGCGCTGACCAGGAAAATGACATCAAACCATCGGTGGTAGAAGTTAAACTGCAGCTCTCCGAGAACCTCTGTCACGATGGAGCGATACTCCAGCGGCATGCTCATACGCATCAGCAACACGGACGATACAAAATACATCCCCTGAAATACAGAAAAGAAGAAGTTTGGGTCAATCTGTTTTTTAGGAGGCTACGCTCTGTTTTCTGATAAAGCATCTCACACTCACCATGATCTGAGCCAGGACGAGCACGATGACATTGGACGACTTGCTGCTTGATATGGCATAGAAGAACTATATATCAAAAAGAAAAAACATTCAATCTGGTTAAACCAACATGCCATGGATGTATTGACCTGCATGTCTTTCGCCATTTAACCCTCAGGCATCAGTTTAATTTACTACCCTCTTAAGTCAGTAAGGACAAAAATGTCCATGCCAAAAAACTGATATAAAAATAGAACAGATTCATATTGTTTTCTACTTTTCTTTGCATACATCTCTTAAACAACTTCAGCCCTGCTCAAAACTACCAAACATTCAATCATTTTTTAGGAATTTAACCCTTTAAGTGCCAATTTGATTACTTGATGTCACTGTTGTTATTTATGAAAAAGACACAAAAATGAGTTATTTTCCATTTAAAAAATATTTGGTGGCTGGGGGATTATTTTTTCCAAATCAGTCTTGGATATGTCACAGATTATCCAAAATATTGACTTTGATGCATTGTTAGTTTTTGTGTAGCATCAGATTTAAAATGTAGTTCCCTGTTTGGACATTGGAGGGAAAAAATGTCCAATTTACAAAAACTGATATAAAAATAGTGTTCTATTGATCTATTAAAAAAAAAAAAAAAATGTGCATTCCAAAATGTGTCAAGAGAGAGTCTTTTATTACAAAAAACGTGTGCCATATGCACTAACAGACAAAATGATGACCAGATGAAGAGATACAATTTGACCAAATGGACAAAAATGTCCATAGTGATGCAAGAGGGTTAAGGATGTGTTATGTCATAGCTTTACCTTAGTGAGGGTGATGAGTAAGCCACGAATGGATGTAACGATTATTATTCCCACCAAGATGAAAGAGATGTGCTGGGACCAAAACTTAACCTGAGATGTAGAGAGAGATAAAGGACACAAGAAGATGAAATACGAGGCAGTTTAAAACAAGACAGGCGAGAGTGGGGAGACAACTTTCAATCTACAATTCATCATTTTATTCATTTAAATTTCAAACGCAACGCCAAGCCCCGAGTGTGAGCTGTGAAAAGTCACTCCTATAATTGTCTACATGAGAAGAGATTTAAAGTGATCATCATCAGATTCACTGCAGAGAAAGCAGCACAGAGAGAGATGATAATGGTGCAGATAATTATCTTTACAGGAGGCCGCGTGGTGTGACATGTGACTCTCTCTCTGCAGGTGTGTGCGTGTGCATGTTTGAGTGTGTGTGTGCCTTACATCAAACTGGATGCCCAAGTAGTTCACTGTGATCTCAATCCCCCTCGTCACCGGATCTGTCTTTCCAACTCGATCGAACACAATGTTTATAGTGGCCTGTGAGAGACACAAGAAGGGTTTTGAAGAGAAGTCTAACTTCTTTTTTTTTAACAACATCTGATTATGTAACGGGGAGAGTGGGAGGGGAAGCCACAAAACCAGGGTATAAATAAATGTGAATGTTCTCACCATGAAGATTTTCCAAACACAGTAGATGGAGAAGAAGTAGCCGAGGAAGTTGAAGTACTTCCCCTGGAATGTCTTTGAGTACTCAATCCGCTCCTAAAGAAAGGTGAAGGTGATGATTAAGAGTCAGCAAATCATTTATCACACACGGGCAAACGGGGATCATTTAAATGTATTTTATTTATTTGTTTATTTAACATACAGTAACATTGGTGCTGTAACATTTAACCATGCACAAGTTCCAGATGCACTGCTCTAAGTGTTTATAGCAAAATGCTAATTTGCAACACCTGTCAAGACATTCAACTTGCTTTGTGTGTTATGGATGTTACAATACGCTTTGATTGCTCACACTTTCACCAAGAGAGAAAAAAAATGGGTTTAAAGATCTACTGGTATAGATCACTCAACCCTGTCAGGGAGAAAGGACATGTTTGTGTGTATATTTCAGATATCTTTATTTGTCCAGCCCAGTGCAGTTTTGCTTTTAACCGTCTCAGTCATCTTTGACTGGCTGCGACCTCGAACAGCACAAGTCGCCCGCTGTAATCATCAACTGAGGGAGAGGCGAGAGCAGAACACAAACAGAGATGTACTGGAGCGAAATATAAACAAGCATGTGTATCTATCTGCACCCAGGTAAACATGTGATAACACTCCACAGTGATAACAGTTAGCAACTATGAGTTTCCTTTTTTTATGGGGGGGGGGGGGGGGGGGGTGTTTATTGGCCTTTGTTAACTGTTAACACTTTTGGTTCTTGGTCTTCAAAGATATGGCACAATTCATAAAATTTAATCTGAGCCTTTTATGGAGACTACTGTGCATCTCAGATCACCCACACCATAAATAAAGTAAACTTAGACTTTTAATGCCAGTTTTCATTTGGCCACTAGAGGGCAGCAGACAGCACTTAAACACAACATGACCTTTTAGGCTGATATGGTGAAAATGAAGCAAACAGATGTTGTTTTATACATTTAGCAGACAATAACTGGCACATGTCATGTGATCACATCGAGATGGCGCCGAGGACGGTCGCCCCGGTGTGTTGGTGCGCGTTGTTTTGTCTGTTTTTGTGCGTTAACTATTTTTTTTCTCATAGTCCACTGCACAGCTCCTACATTACACCTTTTGTACATTTTGTGTTTTTTATTTTTATTTTTTATATCTGACATTTTTAAATTCTGTTTTATATATTGTAATATCTTCTTATTCTGTATTATTTAAGTTGTTGTTATTTCTGCTTTATTTCCTTGTTAATTGTTTAGCACCAATACACCAAGTCAAATTCCTTGTATGTGTAAATGTACTTGGCAATAAACGCAGATTCTGATTCTGATTCTGATTCTGATTCTGATGTGTATATAAATACATATGTGTTACCTTGGTAGCTTGAAGGTCCACAGTCTCCAGGAAGAGTTGTCGACTCAGCTCCTCTAGAGCATCCACCTCCTGCTGGATCAGGGAGAGGTCTGAAGGGAAAAGTTAAGGCAGACTAATAACCTCATAACTGTACTGTAGACATTACTGCATGGTTCTATGAAATCAAACTCAGCATTTTAAGGATATCATATTTATTCAAGGATACTTTCGCTGCCTGTTTGTGTGGAGGTAACACTCTTGATCATGCCCCAGAATCCTGTCTGTTTGTTCTGGTCCTCTCCACGCTGGTACATCTGCCTCCGTGTCATTGCAATTCTACACACAAAAAACAAAAAAGTAGTTACTGAATCGTTTGTTTTATTCATTTGAATAAATTTTATTTTTCATTTCTGCTTACCGTTTCTTTTTGCTGACGATCATGTCCATAGTCTGGAGTAGCCGCCTCTCCAGAGCGAGGATGTCGCTGTCTGTTACATTTCTGTAAAAAAAAAAAAAAAACAGGAGTAGAAGGCATCAGAGCAACATTTAAGTTTTTGTTGCTAATAAAACTTTCTGCTGAGCTTACCTGAGGAAATAAGACATGTACGTGTAAGGACAGTTGACTGCACCAAAGCCAGACAGCAGGGCCATGAGAGTGACTCCGATAACACCGACACGACTGATCAGCTGCTCGATGGAGAGAATGCCTAAAGCAGAGACAACAGGAACACTTTGTGTTTCACTTACAGTCAAAACGTCTTGCATCAAATCATGAAGAATAAAGGCATCATCCACAGTAATAAACTAGGTCTGCATGCCGTCCAGAGATTTTTATTTATTTATTTTTATTTGTTTATTTGACAGGGACAGTGTACAGCCAATTAGCTGTACCAGAGTTAGCTATAAGCTAATTTACATCTGTTTTCCCTGAGCAGGAGACAGAGACAAAACATACACTAACAACATCTTTACAACAGTGAGACCGTACACAACCACTGAACAATGACATGACACTAGTCCACAATGAAATTCATACATTATATTAAAACAATAACAGGCTAAGAGCATTTAACTACACTAAAAAAAAAAACACAGCTATACGGCATCATACTGTACATCTCCAATACACCACAACACCAAAGCCATAATAACATACTGTATCAACACATTACAACATTATCAGACATAGTTCATGAAAAAGTGTTTATGTGTGATGAGGACACGATTGAGCTGATTTGAGCCATGATTTGATTTTAAATTTAAATTCAGCAAAGCTACGGCACTCTCTGATTTTAGCCGCTATGGAGTTCCAAAAGTGTGTAGCTCTAATAGAGACGACTCAGAGGATCTGTGCTGTATAACACAATCCCCTCTGTTGTTCT